CCCCCCCCCCGCTAACCCCCGCCGCCGCCGCGTGCGCTTCGGCGTGTACGGCCTTCGCCTCTCTTCTTGCCAGCGCCCGCCCTTTCCTGATCCTCTGCGCTGTAGACGACAGCATGCACGCGCCACCGCTTACGTTCCCGCGAGCTCCAGACGCTGATGACCCCCGCCATTTCGACCCCCCTCCTCCGGCATCAGCGCCGGCGGCGGCGCAGCCAGGCGCGAGGCTGTCGAGTGACTTCATGAGGCCGCGGGCGTCGAGGGAGTGCCCGACGTCCTCGAAAAACTCCGAGGCGTCCGCCCCGGCGTTCTCCATGAGTGTCTCTGGGGACCCCGGGTGTCGGTGCATGAAGTCGGTGATGTCGTACAGGCGGCCGTGCACACCGACCAGGCAGCTCGACTCGAAGTTCTGCCCGGCCGCCAGCCACTCCAGCCAGGTCGCCTCGAACTCGAAGAAGAACTCTCTCCAGCCCTGGTTGGGGGGGGNGGGGGGGTAATCATGCCTTAGCTGTTAGACCAGCGTCCTCGAGAGAACGGAGCATTGTTCCTACAGGAGCATTGTTGTTACAGGAGCATTGTTCCTACAGGACTTATCACCGATGACCGATCGTTCTGCCTTCATTTCCCAAGGAAGGCTCAAAAAGGTGTGCCCACCCTGTATCCTATCCTATCGATATGGGGGGGGGTAGGAACAACATAGTTTGCAGGGAGGACGGACGAAACTTCAGAGTGTCTTCTTGGTTCTATCTGTTCCGAGGTGTCGCAAACAGCCGTACTCGCCAATGGCACAAACCACACAACAACCAACAACACACCCGACGAGCAGCATGGACACCCAGCACTTGCCTCCGGCCCAACAACCCAGGTGGAAACAGCGCAACAGAGAATGAAGACGCTATATATACAAGAGCAAACCCAATCCCCATTCGTCCCCCCCCCAAAAAAAAAAAAAAAAAAAACGGCTCAGAAGTCTGACCTGAGTTACCGCAGACGACTTGGGGTTCCAATCGTGCAGGTGCCATCTCCGCGCCGCCTTCTTGCAGATTTCCGACTCCCAGATCGCTCCGAACCTCGCCCACCACACCTCCCTCCACACCAGCTGCGAGTCCGCCGCCTCCCGGGCCCCCCTCGACGCCTGCGCCAGCTCTAGCAGGTCCCGGGGCTCCAGGAAGGTCAACGCCCTTTGCAGCGCGTCCGCGTTGAGAACCCCCAGCGAGGAACCCGCCCAGACGTCGACGACGTCGGTTCCTCTCCCCTGCTGCTGCTGCTGCTGCTGCTGCTGTCGCAGCAGCCGCCCACCGGTGGTGGCGGCGCCGGCACCGGCGAGCACGTGCGCGGCGGCAATCGCGGCGCACTCCGGGCACTCCGCCTCCGCCGCTAGTGTTCTCTCCCCCTGTTCGACGGCCGTGTGCCCTCGCCCTCTTCCACTGCCGGCGGGGGGGGCTCCGCGGTGGGTGCAGGGGGGCATCACGAACCCGGCAGCCGGGGGTAGCGGCCCGCCGCCGTCGGTGCTTCCCGACCCGCTACCCCTCGCCCGTCTCGCGTCCCAGGCCGTCGAGAAAGACGACCACGACGCGTCCACCGACGCGCGCAGCTGCTGCAGGTGGTTGTTCGCCGACAGGTCCAGCGGTCGGATCATCATCGCCGTCCTCCCCGCCACCAAGCTCTCGAGTCTGCGCTCGTCCTCCGCCTGGCGCAGGCGCCTCGCGGCCGAGGCCCGCTGCCGCTGCTGCGCGGCGATCCTGGCGCACATGCACGGCTTGCCGGTATCGGCCGCCGCCGCCGCCGCCGCCGCCGCCGCCGCCGGGAGGGGAGCTTTGTCCCCGCCTGCCGCCGCCGCCGCTGCAGCAGCCGCCATCGCTACGTGGCAGCCGTCGACGTGCACGACGACGGCGCTGCCGCCGTCGCCGCCGGTGCGGTGATACCGCCTACCGCCGGCGCCGGCGCCGCCCTTACCGTACACGCTGTTGGAGGACAGCTCCTTGCGGTAGACAGTGATCGCCGACAGCACGGCGAGGCCCAGAAGCTCCCATCGGTCCAGGCCGGCCTGTGAGCAGAGAGAGCCGAGGTTGTCGAGGCCTACGCCAACCGCGGTGGCGACCTGTACATTCGGGAAGAGGGAAAATGGAGGGGATGTACGTTGGCACTTAAATTGCTTGGTCACTTACTCCAGGGGGGGGGCGTGCGTTGGAAATTCATTTGCTTGGAATTTACCACTACTTCGAAGTGCATGCATGGGATAGTGTCGTCCAGCACGAGAGAGAGAGAGAGAGAGAGAGAGAGAGAGAGAGAGAGAGAGAGAG